AAAAACCCAATAGGATCCATTACAAAAGAACGTGGATCTCGATGAAACTTAAGAGTATGGTTAGGCAGGGGACGTTAAAGAACCCACTCACGAGATTACTGTGATGTGGTCTGGCCTGTTTACTGGGAATTGGGGGGAGGGGGCATCTTCAAATAAGTTTCCCTCGATTTTTCTGTAAACTGCTAATGCAGTCCGGCCGAAGTCCCCCGAAAACTGTTGTGATGCGCATTTGATCATATCCACATGTTAATTTGCACAATATAAATATTAAGTTATTATTAGTTTGTGGATTTTAGTGGAAAAATCATCAGGGCTCGAAACGATTCATTCTAGTGGAAACAGTGTTAAAAGGGTAGTCAGAAGAGACAACAGGATCAGAAGAAACTGAGTTGGGCCATCGATTCTTTCTTATTATGCGCACCCAAAATTTCTATTTTTGTATTGAATTTTGAACAAGCGTATTTGAATGCTAAATTACATACAATTTGAAAACAACCGAGGTGTACGAATACATGTCGATCAGGAAACTTGCAGTTCTATTTTAAGTGTCAGGATCTCCCACGTATACATCTTTACTAGTTAATGTGGGTGAACCTGAAACTTGAAAAAGAACTTACTCAGGAAGCCAGATATTATATATGAGGTAAATTGTTATGGATTATTGGTCAGTAAGAAACTGGGAAACCTTAATGCGAATGAAAGTACGTGTACTCATCTTTCTAAAACACACTTATGGCGTTTTTTAGTTTAGCGGAGAGAGGGATAGAGGGAAAAAGTTTAAAATTATTCTAAGGCGCCTCTATTCATCCTATATTGCGCACGAAATATTGGATTAAGAGGAAAGAAAAAAATGTATAAATACTTTTACATGTGATGCCATATATAAAACGTCTGGAAAGTATAAGATAACAATTGCGGATCATCTATTAAGTTTTAGGATCTTTCAAACAATTTGACAATGCTCAATTATCTCCGGCTATCAGCCAATCAGATTTTGATTCTTCCTTAATTACGGCAACATAGTCCGAATGGTTGAGAGCCAGAGGAACATTTTTTAACATAACCAACTTTATTAGTCCAATGTCGATTCAATGCATTTGATTTGGTTTTCTGTCTGCTCTCTCAGATGTGATACAGTAAAATTGAAAATAGCGTACAAACAAAAACGGAAAAAAAAATCGCCGTAGGTTATATTTACACTTTAGAGAATAACCAGAAAGTGTAAAACAAACATGTTATGAAACCCTTGGGTTCTCTTTCAAGTGTCAGCTTCACCAAGACCTTCGAGGCAAGATAACTCGGCCCTCAGCCCTGACTCTGCCGTCCTTGGGGGGCGCGTCTTCACATCAGCTACTACCAGAAAGACGCCCCGCACAATTTCAGACGATGCACAGGCCATTATAGAAAATTTAGAAGACATCAAGTCTATGGAATCGGCAGCGAATAATAACCATGCTAACTGGGAGGAAATTATAACGAGAAGAGCTGCCAATGAAGACATCTTAGAGCATCCTGATAGTGATAAAAAATTTCCATCAAACTTAAAGTTGAAATCCCTTTTAAAGGAAGCCATCAAGCGCGGACGAGACACTGCAGCTTCTCAGAAAGCACCTGGTACGGGTAAGAGAAAGTCGATGATTATATATCAAGAAACCAGAATGCCAACTTCTGTCAATGAGAGGGAAAGTCAATCGATCTTTCCAAAGCGCTCATTGTGTCTATCGCCTGGGTGGAGAGCTGGCTTGAGTACATTATCTGTGACTATTGAAACAGTTAAAGGAATTTCGTGAAATTCCATAAGGTCGTAGTAGTAGCAAGTATGATAAATATTGTAAGAAATAGACATTTTTTTGAGAGATATGTTCATCGGCATGCTTATGCCATCTTCAATCAATGAGTAACAGAACGTGAGTAATTATATAACAGTCAAGTAGATGAATAATTATCACGTTGTAATTAGTACCCGCTTTTGTATTACATTATACTGTAAATATTTTATTCATCTACTTGTCTGTTATATAACTACTCACGTTCTGTTACTCATTGATTGAAGATGGCATAAGCATGCCGAAACATGTCTCTCAAAAAAGTTGTCTATTTCTTACAATTTCGTGAAAACAACTAGAAAGTGTAAGGAAACATGACGTGTCACCCATAGGCTCTCATTTTTTCAGACTTAACTTCAGACTGAATTTAAATCATCTTTGAGAAATGATCCAGTACCTTAACGGTTCATTCAACTGCAATGAAATAACTTCGGGTCTCAGTTTAACAGTGGAGACCACTTGTTTTACTTCAGTTTTTTGTGTGGTCTGCTAGAAGGTGACCCGGGCCAATTACCGAACAGGTTCTATTCAGAGAGCTAGGCCAATCACGGCACAGATTTTGTTTCAGAGAAATGACCTTAATCTTGACATCGAGCCAGATTAGACTAAGCAATCAGTTTAGATTCTTCTCAACCTAATATTAAATATTAGTTGTCATAGTTCAATTCTGACAAGTCTTAAATTTCTTCTTCAAATAATAAGATGTAGCCAAAAGTGGCATCCAAGGAAAAACTGGACAGAAATCGTCCGGTCGAGGTAACGAGGAATCATACCGACCAGATGATCACCCCAGGATAAAAGGCAGCGAATCCAAACCGCGTGGCACATCTACGGAACAAAAACAAGAGAGAAATACTCAGCCCGGGAACATGGCGTCTGCTGGACCCCGATGGGGCTCAGCCATGGATTATGGACTCAAGTCTCACTATGAAGAAAGAAAAGTAAAAATAAAAAAGAAGAAAAAAGGGAGACTAGAGTCCCAAACTGAGACTAAAGATCCAGCAGACAATGGCTCCCTGATTATCGTTGGAGGACTTATAGGAGGAATGTTTCTGTTTCTGGCGATTGGGGCTGTGTTTTATCGCATTTGGTAAGCAATCTTTTTCATCGGTCATCAGTTGGACCACATTTCATTTAAAAATTATCTGAATAAGAGAAAAGGCTCACTTAACATACATGTTCAAAATATTATATCCAGTCAGTCAACCCAGACTCGTGGTTGGTTGGTTGAGGGAGAGTCTGTTAGTGGACTGGAATTTTAATTCCAGTTTGTTTTCTAGTGAGTTTGGATGTGATTGTCGGTCGAAACCTTTACAGGAAAAATTGCAGGAAGAGAATTGGACGAGATCGAGGCGATCCCGAACGAGTCCGGTTATCAGCCTCACTCCAGGCCATCGCGGAGGATACTGATGAAGATATCATTTTTGAAAGAAAACCGAAAGGATCGAAAATGAAAAACAAGAAAGAAGAAGAGGAAGGTAAACCTAGTGCAAGTCTTAAATGAAAAAGCCTGGAACTTAAGGATGATAGAGATGTTTGAAAAGTGAGAAAGAGAGCGTAAAACAAACAGCGAACGAAAAAAAACCTTCAGTTTGCAGTAGATGTGGACAAGTGATTTTAATTTTTTACCATGGGATTTTTCGCAAATTAGAAGGAAAAGGAATGTAACTAACCGGAGCGATTTCACTCGTCATTTCAAGAATATTTTCACTGACACTTCCGAAGAAAAAGCTAAAATTTCTTGATAACAGCGTAAGGGTATTAACTTGTTTTCCTTGGTGTTCAAACAGCTGGAATCGAAGTCTTAAAGTCAAGTGTTGTGACGAGAAATGAAGCGATGTAAAGTGTACATAAGTGATATAACATGAAGCAAGACCAAAAGCGTTAACGCAGACATTGTTCGGTTTACAACACTAAAAAACTGTTCGTTATTCTTGTCACAGATCCACAAGGTAAAAACGTACGACTGAATTTGGAAGTTTCTCAATATCCACCGGCCAAAGGTATACTTAAACGTAAGGAAAAAAAAAAAGTAAAGCAAAGCTCGATAAAATCAATTCTAGATCTAAAACAAGCATAAGCAATCATTAATTGATTAATTGAAATGATTAGAATTGTGCATTTTCACCACAGGTGGTCACGGCCGAGAAGTACGAGTAGATATGGAGGCCTCCGATTCTTCGCAGCCCGCCTCGTTATCATCCATGTCTGCGCCATCACTGTGCTCTTCCTTCGGTACGCAACTGTCCACCCAAACAATTGGTTCTTCTCTGAGTTATATAACCCTCATCGACTCCCGTAAGGATTCTTATCTGCGCTTTTGGATGCCGCAAATGCCGCAATCCTCTGGATCTTCCTCATCAAGTGATGTGGAGGTTAAAGTTGAACCAGACAAAAAGCAGGCGGCTCCCCCTCAATCGTCAAACAGTTCAGGTAAAATAAGTTTATCGACAGCTAAATAAATTCCTGGATGATGGATCGAAATAAGGCAATCGTGTGGTTTTAAAAAGAACTGATACAATCTCGTTTGTTTGATTTCTATTTTTTGTGATATAGCGGCCTGTCGTCAACTGAACAGCATGGTTACCACGGAAACAGGTGGCTCCAACTCCTCCTCTGAGTCGTGCAAGACACCAGTAGCTGTCAGCGATGACGTCACCATCACAATCAACGATGACGACGATTGCAAAGAGCCGTTGTTGTCTTCAGAAAATGAGGGCTCGTCCGCTGAAGTGATCTACGTCAGTAGGAATCATTTAACAACGGAGGCTACAGAAGGAGATGAGAATGATGTTAAAGAGCGATCAGGTGATTGCAATTTAAAGAGAATGCTACATAAAAAGTAGAAAAGTGAGTGAGAGAGCGTTGAAGCTCGAAATCCGAGGTTTGAATTCTCGTTTGGGACTAAGATTTTTTTCCTTTGTTCTTCGCTCGCGACAAAACATCTTTCGTTATACAACATAAGCACCACGGTTGTACCAGCCTTCCGACTGCTTGATGTAAGTAGCTATTATATTTCATGAGTCAGTACAATGTCAGTTTATAATTATCTTTCTGGTAATAACACGCATGGTGTGATCTGCAGGCGAACCATCCCTGCCTCCTGCTCAGACAAGCCGTCCATCATCTTCAACGGATTTGGAAAAGGTTAGAACAAAGTACGGTAATCAAATAAGGACAGATGTGTCAACTGAGATTTTACAATTTAGTTCCGATTGTAAGGTGGTAAGTTGTCTGACTTTGAATAATTCATTCAGGCAAGTCTCTGGTTGGTGGACACGAAGCTTTGGAGAATCACCAATCCACACATGTGGATTGGTGATTCTCCAAAGCTTCGTGTCCCTGCTTCTATTAAGAGCCTGTTTAAGAGTCTCTATTAAGAGCCTCTATTAAGATTCTCCAAAGCTTCGTCTCCCTGCTTCTATCAAGAGCCTCTTTATTCCTTGTCAGGAATAAACAGGCTCTTAATAGAAGCAGGGAGAAGAGAAGAGTGATTAAGGAACGAATGAAGATGACAGTGAAATCCTTGGAGGAGAGTGTGTTATTGGCAAAGGTAACCACAGAAACTTTTGGAATGTATACAAACTGTTTGGAGATGATGATGATGATCATAAATGAAATAAATAATATATGAGACCATAGTCTGCACTTTTATGTTGTGAAGCAGCCGTTTTTTCTTTAGGGGGGGGGGTTGGGTTATCGCACTAGAGATTATTCCAAGGAGGGGGACACGAGGAATGAAAGATAGATGAAGGGGAACAACAACACAACATACAACTAACACTTCTAATGACTATCTGTCAACTTTGGAGCAAGTGTAATCTTTTTAGCGTTACAAGGGGAGCTAAGCCAAGGGCGTGGTTAGCGCGAAGGGTAGGGGAGGTGAAGGACCGCTAATCTATCCGCACGTTTTCAAATCTTCTCAAAAACGTCTAAAAAACGCCTCTTTGGCAGGTCAAACTGAATTTTTTTTTCCACGTCCTCAAAATGAAATTGTACCCTTTTCTATACAGTAAATTCCTCTATTTTCTCTTATTCATGCATTTTTTTTGTTGTTGTTGTTTCGTTCAAGTCAATTATATTGGATGAGGCAATGGACAAAGCACGTGACTTTGAGCGTAACAAGCGTCTACGTATTATCCGTAAGGGTCTTTCACTGCGATCTGACACTTCTTTATCAGAGGAAGTCGCTTTGGCACAGGCCGTCATTTTACCAACACCTATTGATCCAAAGAAAATGAAAAGAGATAAGGAAAGACCTAAGGTTATAAAGGAATTGTTAAAGGAATATATCAACCCCTCATTCAGTGACGCGATCCAGGTCGTGGCCTCCACTATGCGCTCGGACAGGATTACAAGAGATTTGAGAAAACAAACTGATTACAAAAGATATGTAAGTATTCTGAAAAACAAAACAGATAGCTTGAGAAAATATTCGCTCAGAATCGATTTTAATTCATAATGATATTTTTCTGATCGTAACAAATAGTTGTTTTCAAGCAATATCGCATTTTTTCTTTTACGCTTCTTGGTCCACATCTAAACGCCCCGTTGAATTTCGTGGTTACCATCTGCCACAACAAGAACAAAACTTTTATTTTACTGGGTCAATACAACACTATTACCGTTATCATTGTTACTATGGTGGTAACGACGATGATGATAATGATTACTACTAAACGGTCTGATACTCAACTCCAATTTGCCTTGGGTTCGTACGATATCTTGTTGTGGTCCTTTCCAAAACCATTTTCCTACGAAGGATTCGTTTTTTGATTCTCCATTATTTTCACTGAAATATCTTTATTTTACTCAGTTGATTGGCTTGGATGCCAAACGCTTTGCAAAGAATATTGTGAAGCCCACTTTTCAAATGGATATACAGTTTGTCCGGAACGTGATCTGTGGTCGGTCTGCACTTGATCATGGCGAAAATCCCCACGTGGGGTGTCTGTGCTCCTACTGTGTCAAGCAACGGAGTAAAACAGGGAGACCACCCTGCTTCAGTATAGCACGGTACGAATGTTTTTCTCTTGTATGTTAGGAGTTGTTAGGGCCCTTAGCTCCTTGAATTATGAAAGTTGTGGCGAGAGAATAATTAAAGAGAAGCAAAATTTGAGGCAATTGAAAAGGTCATCAAAAGGAAACTATGATAATTTACTACTTATCACGTTTTGAGATTCCAAAGAATAATTGAACTGTTAAAAACTGTCTTTAAATGTGCTGTTTCTTCATGGCAAAGTTTATCACTAGAGTAAAGAATTCCTCTCAGTGTAGCTTCCATTTGTGAAACTAGATTACAGGGGAAGAATAGGAGCAGCCAGGCTGCTAAGCTGATTCAAAATGGCGGCACGCATGGTTTAATTTGTAGTACACATGAAGACAATATTCGAACTTTCAGGATACTCTTGGGGGGAATTTAAAAACGCATGTTGTGTCATAATTGTATGCAATTTTATGGTGGAGTTAAAAAAGTTATGGTTTCTGAAACATACTTCTCCTGCAGCTAACCCAGCTTCAAATCGCATATCAGCTCAGAAACTGTATCACAACTCAAACCAAAGGACGACAGAGCATTTGTGGGCGAAATCAACTAACAGTTTTGCAAAATGTGCAACCACAGGCCCAGTTTTGAAGTTGATCCTTTAGCATTTCGAGCTGGTGGAGTTCCACCATAAAAAACATTTAGTTGTTTTTATTATTATTATTATTATTCATTGTAAAATAAGTGTTTATTTTCGTTCTCTTTTTTTCTAGGGATATCCCCAAAACGGAGGATACCTTCGTAATCAATGGAAAGGTTTTCACAAGTTTTGTTCCCAAACAGTCTTCTTCTGGTAATGCAGGGCCTGGAACAAGTACTGGATCACATACTGCACACAATGGATAAAGTAATTTATCTCACTTTCGTTTAGTTGTATCCACACATTATTGTAAAAAAAAAAAAAAGAGAGAGAAAAACAAACTTAATTTTGTCGTAAGCGAATGAAAATGTAAAAACTCTTACTTTTTGGTGGCTATTTGGATGTCATGCATCGTGAGAAGAAGCTTATCACAATCATTTCATCTACAATTCATGAATTTTTGTAATATACGAGGCAGACACTTCAAACATTACAATAACATTTCACAGTGGCAAAAGTTTAATAAAATAAATTGATTTTTTAACGCGGTGTCGGTAATTTTTGGATTCATAGTACCCAGAACATAATAACCTACAATGCAGATCAATTTTCAACTGTTATCAACGGATTGCGGAAAAAAAAACTTAGAAATAATGTACAGTCCTCCATTTTGTCCTCATCATTATTCTCCTCAATAAACATGTGCTTTTTATTTTTGAAGCAATAAAATACTGTCACAAACAAAGTCCTTGGATGACATACATGCAATGGAGCCCTAAATATCTTGTCATACAAATTACTCTAAAGGTGAACTACACAGAACACCTCACTGACTATCTTGTGGATTCCCTTAAAGAAGGCAATGGAGGAATATTCATCTGTCAATGATTTTGGGGATATTCAACAGTTCTCAGAGAACTTTCCTGATTCTTTTGTTGTCATTCAAGCAGCTTCTGTTTTAAGTTCTTTAGATTGTTCCTTGTTTTCGTATTTATCCGTGATATTTTGTTTTTTCTGTTGCTCTCTTAGCCACTGCCTGTAGTCACTAACATTCTTAATACTTTCCCCATAATAGTCATCTTCAAATTTACTGTTTGATGAAGCTCTTCTGGCTGCTACCCTTTCCAAGAAATCAGCTTCACGCTACAAAACATGATAAAAAGAAAGAAGTCTCAACATTTTTTTCTTTCTTAACATAAATTGTTGCAACTAAAGTTCAGCCCCCAGTTGATGAAAAGATGGATAAAGCTATCTACTGAATAAATCTCTATCTGGCCCCAGTTGTTCAAAGGATGGATAATACTTTCTCAAACTCATTAATAATTCATGACGTTACAAACCAATCACGATATGCCAATTTGGCCACATGTGTATTTAGAAACCCCGATGAAACACTGGACAGAGGCTTTTCCACTATAATTTGATGAAATATCAAACCCTAGAGCTTGATAAAATGTCAAACCCCACTGATGCCAAAATCAGTCAGAATTTTTTCATTGTTCTTGGCTAATGATGCACGATTGAGAAGCAATTTCAAAAACCGTGCTTCGTGTTTCATCTGGGTTTTCAAACACACAAAAACAATAAAAGCACAAGGCCATAGGCCTCATGCTTTCACTGATCAGTTTTCTCGTGTTTGGAAACCCCGATGAAGCACTCGCACTCGTTTTTGAAATATTACATCAACTGGAGAAATCTCTATCTGCTGGTTAGCGCAATAAATTTTGTTCACACTCCTCCACTAGATAGCAATTAATCTGTTGAACAGTGTCACCCACCCTTTGAACAACTTTGAAAAACCAACACCTTCATAAAGGGTGACCCACGGGTTTCAAAATGTCTTGAAGTAGGAGGCCGACTCTGGAAAAGTAGGTGGCTGTGATAATCAAGATTGTTTGTCACAAGCCGACTGTTATGACCAGAGTAGCCGGCCACATACAATCAAGTAGCCGTTGGAACTCTAGCAGTCGCCAGCTTGTTTTGAAACCACTAGTGACCATTTTATATGGTGCCCCTTAAAACATGTACAACTGTATATTTCAACAATAAGAGAACAATGAAAAAAGTTTTACAGCCTGCAGTGAAGGAGTCTCAGTTTGATTGAGATCAAGAGTAGATAGATCAGGGGTAGGGACATATGGGAAGATACAATATCATTTTTCCCTTCTTTTATAATGCCTGTCCACCACCTCCCCTGTTAAAAATTTTTTTCACCAGTACTTGCAAACTATAAATTTACAATTAAAGGTCAGCAAAGAAACATACCTCTTGCATATTTTGGGCCAAGTCCTTGTTAAACAACCTCCAAACTGATTTAAATGCCACAGTTCCAGCAGCAAACCCAACACCAGCACTGGCCACGCCACACAAACCACAGAAAATTATTGGGTCCATTCCTCTGAAAATAGAAAGGAAACAACATGACTCTCCAATATACACTTTAATTTCATATGTAATGTGGTCTTGTTGTGTTATTGAGCAAGTAAAGAGGTCTGCTCTCATGTATGCTATAGAAGTTGCTTAATCATGGAATGGGTCCAAGTTTGAGGGTCCATGGTTTGAGGGACCATGGAATGGGTCCAAGTTTCATTTGCTACCATTCCCACTTTCTATTCACTGATCTGCCCAAATTTCTGCATGTAACGTAAGTTTTGTCATTCCTCTGTAAACACATGAAGAGACAATAAACGACACACAGGAATGAGAAGTGATTGGATGAAAAAATAGGGGAGTGAAAATGAGATTATAAGCACTTTACTTCAGACTTCCCAACCTTTCTCAGATGTCAAGTTAGTTTATCACATAGAGCTGACAGTTTTAGACACTGAACTTATAGCCCCATACAAACCACTGTGGGCAGTTGAATTTACCAAACAGAAATGCTGGGAGAGAAAAAATAACTTTAAGAGTGGAAAGTGAAAAATACACCCAAAAAGTAAGGGTTTAGGAAATGGAGAAAAAAAAATTGAAAAAAGAGAGCTGTGATGAGTGAAAATGAGTTCTTACTTACATAAAGGTATTTCAACCCTTTAAACACTATGAGTGACCAGCATCTAAATTCTCCTAACAGTAATACTGCTGAATCATTGATTAAAATAATTACATGTGAATAAAGGAAACGATCGCAAAGCTTAGACGCTTTGATTGTAACCTAATTCTCCTTGTCAGTACCAAAAGAAATGGAGCAACTTCAGAGTACCCGTCCACATCATTTACATGTGTCGGGAGGCTTTGAAGAATGAAGCATAACACAATAGATGCTATTCTTATTCAATGACATGTAAATGAGTGGCCGGGTATTCTGAAGTTTAGAAATGAATAGAGAACAGTATGGAGAATATGCATACTGATATTAGGCTGCAAAGGGTTAAAGGAAACTTAACATACAATATCGGTTCAATCTGCTCCGGAGTAGCATCGAAAATATTTGGGAACATGTAAGCAGTGATGGTGCTCGATGCTAACAGAAATGTCACACCAATCGGCAAACCGGCCAGCTTCTGCTTTGTGCGCAACTTTCTCCTCAGCTGCTGGAACTCTTCAAATGATAGCTGGAATCTTTTCGGCGTGATTTTCTGACCGCTGAATAACGGACTACTCACAATAGTCGGAGAACGTTCTTTCAAGCCATCAGGATCACTTTCGGGAGAGCTGTCACAATATGGACGATTCAATATAGCCATACATGGTATACTGGATTTCAAGCCTGTACGGAGAACGACTAGAGTTCTTTTTCCGTTGAAAAAGTTACGAAAAGTTCTCACACTACCAGCCGCCATCTTGGAAAGCAAAATTACCCACAATGCTTCGTATTTTCGAAGTAAGGCTGCTGAAAAAAACTTGCGGACTCATTTCCCCAGTTTCCAGATTCCCAGACAAGAAGGAAGTAGAAATAAGGAGAACCATCGTTATACTTTTGAGCGCCAAAAAAATGGTTCGATGGCTACCTTTAGAATCAAATCCGGATGTAAGATTAACTATTGTCTGTTGCCAATGTGTGTTTTGTCCATAATCATGCAAATAGATCCCCTTGATTAACTTGATTTTGCATTGTTCATTCATTTTGCAAAATTCCTGATTTCCTGTCATTCAAATTGCTTCAAAGGTTATGAACAAGGTAAGTACACTTTAAATTAGTTCCTTATGTGATGTAGCTCAAGTGATGTGGAAACTTGACTGGATAATATTTATTAGTGCGAGAAAATCTTGCGTCGATCGATCGTGGAAAAATTCCACGGTTGTTGCCTACACTAAATATACATACAAATCAGTTGTAACTATGTGTGCAAATATTATTCTAATAACTTGCGAATTAACGTCATCGTTTTTAAATACATTTATGCACCTTGGTTATGAATTTTATGTGAGATGAAGAATTGTTTATATCTTCACCCATCCCTGTCAAAAATTTCAGTTTCATAGTATTTGTCACGATGTTGTTGTTTAAGTGAGTAGAAAAATAAAAGAGTGAAAAACTAAATTCATCGCCATAAATCGGCTTGAGACAAGATTGCCATATAACGTATTATGCTTACAGTTCATAGATAAAGAGAACAATTATAGCAAAAACAGTACATTGCCTTTGGGACTGCCACTCTGTTATAGAATAATTTGGGTCACACAGAAATCTTTCCTGGCTCTTCCCCAGTGTTAGAACCTGTAATTGCAAGTAGGAACACTGTGTGCTTTAACTAACTGGAATTAGTATGTACCACACAGTTGAGTCATGCTTTTCTTGAGTTCTGATTGGCTGGTATGGAAGTGACAAACAAGTACTATTTGCCTCCAAGCAGCTGAAGAGACAAAATTGTGCATCAGCAGTTTAATTTGCGACCAATTTTTGGTATATTGACAGAAATAAATTAGTTTTTTTCAGTTTCAGTGAGGTGCAATGACTGACCTCTACTTCTTTGAATAATTCTTAATTATTATCTTAATTGTTGTTTATAAACAGTTTGTCACAGGCCTTGGTATGAAGCCAATGTGGAGCTTTGTTGATGTTTTTGGACTTGATCCTGAGTTATTGGCTATGCTACCTGAGCCGACATGTGCATTGCTTCTTCTCTTTCCAACGAGTGACAAGGTAACATCTAACTCTTTTAGCCTATTAACTCCCAAGCTCTGATTGTTAATTCTCCCCTTGATTGACTTGATTTTACCTTGTATTATAAATTGTGTAAATTACAGCTACTTACAAGAATTTGGTGTTATATCGAGAGGAAAATTTCTACCTGATAAGATTGAGTATTCTCATTACCTGTTTACTGGATATTGTATGGATATTATTGGGAGAAGTTACATGTTAATCACTTCTGAGAGTTACAGGCTGGGTTACATCCTAAGAGTGACTAGCATCTATTATCTCCTCTCATTAACCAATTGTGCTTTATAGAGTACAAATAATGTGTGAGATGAATACAAATATCTGGCATTAGTATAATTTCAGAGCTGAGCAAAGAGTTTCCAGCAATCTGATTGGTCGAGCGGTTCCTTATATGACGCTATATAAACTGCTCCGCGCGGTTTATATAAAATGTTAAACTAAAATGTTAATAAATGTTACTAAAATGTTATGATTTTAGAAATTTCTCTGTTGTTCAGCTCTGAAATTATACTAAAACAATTATTCGCTTCAGGTTCGGTGAATATTGTCGAATAATCCCCTCTACTTCGTCTCGGGGATTATTCGACAATATTCACCTCGCCTTCGGCAAATAATTGTTAAATATTCACCCACACTGAAATAACAATTTGGCATGTTGGATTATGAATCTCTTTTGAAACGTTTTGTTGTGTAGTATTGCTGGATATTTTTACTCATTTGTATTTTGACTCGCCCTACAGGCTCATAAAAATACTCAGCGATGCTACACAACAAAACGTCTCATGAGATATATATATATCTCAATGCTGCAGAATCACTCTTTAGGATCATGAGACTAAAGGAAATGACTTCCAAAGCTTTGATTGTTGAACAAATTCTCCTTGTCGACACAAAAGGAAAAGTGTAGGGAAGAGTATGGAGAACATGGATACTTATTCAAGGGTGTATATGGTTAAATGTGTCTTTATACCCATCCATTTACCACCATTGCCTTTCTGAAAATAGAAAAGCTATGGATTAAGCAAAAAATGTTTTGGTGGAAAAGCTGTCAACTTAAAACTGAGGTTACCCATATGTAAGATTGAATTTTAGTTGACTTTCTTTATGATAAATTACAAGGCTTGACACAAACTTTTCAACTTAGTAGCCAAGTGGCTAGTGATATCTTAGATGTTATGACTATTTCAGTTTGTTTACTGGCCAAACTGGTTGGTGGAAATCGAAAACCTCTGCCAAAACTGAATTTCTACTTGTCTGTGGCTAGTGGGCTACCATTAGTGTCAACCCTTGCATTAGACTTTTATTGAAAAATGTGATTGGTCAAGAGTATTCAATCAATATACAGTTCAGGGTGAAATTGACTTGATAACCCAATATGTGTGGCAGATATTGCATTTATCAGAAACTAAGAGAGAAAGTGCCATCTTTTTAAACATTTAATATTGAATTCGGTTTTGACATGATATTGTGCACAACCTTATTCGATAATTGCTTATTATCTGAAACAAGAACAAAAACAAGAAGAAAATTGAACTGGGTGGAAATAATTAAACCTATGATAAAATTGAACCAGGAAATCTACAGTGAAGGCTTTTTTTCTGCTGTCTTGTTTTCTTAGTATTATGAGTACAAGACAGAGCAAGAACAGATGGTCAAGGAACATGGCCAGGTAGAGCTATTTATCTTTTTATTATGATGTGCAAATTTAGACTCGAATAATTTTCCTGAAAAAAATTGGCACATTCCACTGCAGGAGGTAAGCCCTAATTTGTACTTCATGAAGCAGACGGTTGGAAATGCATGTGGAACAGTGGCTATAATACATTCCATTGCTAACAACACAGATGTACTTGAGTTTGGTGAGTAACATTTTGAAGCTATAAATAAAAGTGAAAATGAATGATCTATCATCAGACATTATTAAAACCTTTTAGCCCGGTCAAGAGTGATTGTTAATTTTTCCTCGCTGTATCTTTCTTTAATTAAATATAAAAGTTGTGAGAATAAAGGAATTATATAATGACTGATTTAAGTAGCTCTTGATTGTCAAATGAATTCTCCTTGTCAGCACTGCAAGAAATGTAAAGAGAAAAGTGTGGAGAATATCTAATATGAAAATTAACTAACCGCAGACAGTACTGTTTCGGCCTTCTGGGCCTCATCAGTGCAGTGCTGATGCTAGGATGGGGGAGAACCGAGACGGTCACCCCAAACGACCCAACCTTTGTGGTATCGTCTAAGCCATGCCAGAGTGCTCAAACTAGGGTAAACTGGCGAGCATGTGCTACGAAAATTATATGAAAATTATATGAAAATTATTCATATTTATATGAAAATTATAGGAAAATTATATATTATGCATTATGCTCATGTTAAGGGGATGAAATTCTGCTTTAAAGTCAATGTATAATAAAGAAATAAATAGAGTATAAGGCAAAAGCATGTATTACAATAAAATAATGTAGATTGAGAGCCAGAATACAGTCATGGATATGTAAGGCTTTGCATTTTAAAGCAGTATGTTATTACTATAATACTTTAATTGTTTCTTCACAGAGGATGGCTTTCTTAAGAAATTTATAGACTCTACCAAATCACTGTCTCCAGATGAAAAAGGAAAAAGGCTGGAAAATGATGAGGTATGAGATTAATTTCTCTTTCTTTGGTAAAGGAAAACCATTATGGTCACAAGCATGGAAAACAATGTTTATGCACTCATCGTTTCAAGCAAATTGTTGTCGTGATGCAACATTTCTTTCCAGTTTTAGCCATCAAATATATTTTTTATCTTATTGTAGAATATCAGTGAAGCGCATGAAGCTTCTGCTCAGGAAGGGCAGACTGAGGTAAGAAAGAAGTCAACTGAAAGGTCTCGTACTTGAATTTTGAAAAACTGATTGAATCAGGAACAGCAGCAAATGTTTACACCAACTGGATTCAAGCTTGTTGATCTTTCACGTCAAAATCGTCGAGGTGGAGAAACAGCAGTTCTCTTCAAAGAGCATTTAAATGTTCAAACAATTGCAACAAGGGAACTTCGTTCATTCGAGTATTTAGAGCTGATAGTTTCCTCTTGTGGACTCAAATTTCGACTCGTTATTCTCTACCGTCCGCCTTACTCAACTAGGAATCCGGTAACTACCAACTCCTTTTTTATGGACTTTACGGAACTTTTGGAAACTCAAATCATTTCGAATGAACCTTTGGTCATAACTGGTGATTTTAACATTCACCTCGACAACTCTCACGACCCCGATGCAAATAGATTGTTGGATCTCTTTGAGTTGATGGGCCTTTGCCAACACGTTGATGAATCAACACATGAGCATGGTCGCACACTTGACTTAATACTGATTACTCGCGCATCAGATTCTATTATCAGGGGATCACGTGTTATTGACCATCTTTTTTCGGATCATTCCTCTGTCATAACAACCCTCCAAATGGTCAAAACAGAAATTACATCAAAGGAAAGAGTTTACAGAAAAATTAATTCAATTGACTTAGACTCGTTTTGCGAAGATTTAACGGCTTCTGAACTTTGCCAAAATACCCCGAGAGTGCTGGATGAACTTGTAAATTGCTACAACAACACATTGGGGGCTATTCTAGATAAACATGCACCGCTTCAAAGAAAGATAATTGCCACAAGACCGCGTGTACCTTGGTATAATGATGATATTTTAGCGGCAAAGCGAATAAGGAGGAAAACAGAAATTAAAGGAAATGGCGCCGCACCAAATCTTTGGACGACTTGATACGATATAAATCTGCACGTAATTTCGCTACTGACTTAACGAGAAAGGCGCGCTTCGATTTTTATCTAGGCTTTATCCAAGAAAATAGTGGAAATCCAAGAAAGTTATTCGAGGCATCAAAACAGCTGTTAAATCATCAGTCTGATGTGCCCTTCCCTCCTCATAAAAACAGATCTATGTTGGCAAATGAGATGGGAAACTTCTTTGTTCAAAAGATTAGCAGTATTAGATCTAAATTCAAGGAATGTACCATTCGAGATTGTGAGACCTGTCAGCCATCAGAGAACTCACATTTATGTTCGTCGTCATTTAATTGTTTTGAACCTCTCACACAAAACGAGGTTTACAACATCATCATGGGAATGGCCAAGAAATCATGCGCTCTCGACCAATTCCGACACCTTTATTTGTTAAATCTATCGCTGTTCTTTTACCAGTTATAACTAAAATAATCAATCTTTCACTTCAAAGCGGCTATATATATTCCTCCAGTATGGAAAGAAGGTCTTGTTCTGCCAATTCTAAAAAAAGCCAATCTTGATCTTGTTTACAAAAATTACCGGCCTGTGAGTAATCTTTCGTTCATCTCAAAAGTAATCGAACGAGCTGTGTTTCTACAAGAGGAACCGTCTCTACAATCTGCCTAGAGGAGGAACCACAGCACGGAAACAGCTCTTCTAAAAGTGACAAATGATAAATATTCTACTTGACATGAATTCTCAGCAAACAGACCTTGTCGTGTTATTTGACTGAAGTGGCGCTTTCGACACGGTTGATTACAATGTGGTACCGTATAGAATTTAAGATTCTTTTATTGTGTTTTAAGGCATTGCACGGTATAGTACCCGGCTATATTTGTAAGCTTATTAGCTTTAAAATTCCCTCTAAATATGAGCTAAGGTCGAATCAAAAACTTCTGCTGAAGGTCCCAAGTGGTAAGATGTTACCCACATTGGGAGCGAGAGCATTCTCCTATGCTGCAGCACGTCTCTGGAATGACTTACCAAGTAACATCACTGGCCTTCACTCCTTCTCTAGTTTGAAACGTAATCTTAAAACCCACCTTTTTACCCGGGCTTTTAATTTTCCATCTCATTAGCTTAGTGCTTTTTAATTTTCTATCTCATTTGGTTAGTGCTTTTTAATTTCTTATCTCATTAGGAAAATTGTAATTTTACATATATATATATTTTTTCCTACATTTTCTTTATTTTCATGTAAAGTGCATTTGATCATGTTTATGGAATTTACGCTGTATAAATTTCAATTATTATTATTATTATTATTATTATTATTTAAAGTGATATGCATTATCACAATAATTGATAATATACATGAAAAACTATGCACATCTGATTGGCTGAAAACAAGTGCATATTTCATGTAATAGGAGTGCAAAGTTGCAATGCAACAGCAAAGTTGTAAGACAGAGTGCAAATTACAACTGGCACACGTATGCTGTCAGAGTTTAGTCTGTCTTGACTTCATCTTGCTTTTTCATATAAATTATTAACGAGTAAGAACATGATTCTCATGCAGTTTGGTGTAAATAAATGCTTACAAATCTTTTAAGACTATGAATTGCACCCACTCTATAGGCTTGTGCAATTTGAAAAATTTACTTGTGCTTTTTAACACCAAATTATAATCAAAATCACGTTATTACAAATTCCAAGACAGTTTTGATTTTGGCATTGTGTTTGCAGACCCCATCTATAGACCAGCGTGTTGATCTTCATTTCATCTCCCTTGTTCACAAGGATGGTTGTTTATATGAGCTAGGTAAGTGACTTTGCAAATTTTCATTAATACCAGCTTTATTGAACTGGGCTTCCAAGTTTTGGGACGGGCGCAGAAAAGATTTCTGTATAACCCCAAACTATTCTCAAACAAAGTCATAGTCCCAAAGGTAATCTGATGTTTTTGCAAAGAACTGTATGTATAATGATCAAAGTGTGGGGCTGGAATATGCGGCAAAACTGAACAGAAACTAATTTCTAACACGATGAGTTGTCGTTGATTGCCTGTGATGTTATATAACTTTGATTGAATAGTCACACTCTGGTAATTGAAATCATGTTCGTGTTGCTTTTAGATGGGAGGAAATTGTTCCCCATAAATCATGGAAAGTCATCTCAAGAAACCTTCTTACAGGTTAGGTAATTACATGTATTCAGTCAACCTGTACTGAGAATAAAAATTGCTTATCAGCAAATACACCAACTTTGTTCACTGGTTTACAAATTAAGTTATTAGCAAAGAAATAGTCGAATCTTTAATCAGATTGTGGTAGGAAAGGAATGCATGAATCCATGGTTGATTGACCATATTTGTGAGATGTAATATTGCAGAGAGATTTGGCACCATGTTTACGTGAAACGGCAAACATGGAGCTTTCCCTTTCACGTTTCACGTAAAATAGCGTGAACTTTGCTGC